AGGAGGATGTGGGAAGACTGCAAAATAAGACACTCGGGCATTTGGGCTTCTGTGAGGTGCTCACTTCAGATAGTAAGGTTTACCACAGACACATCATCATGAAAAGCAAGCAGAAAACTGTCATGTTTGGGATTCCTAACCCAGCACAAACGGTCACATCTGACTCTGCTCAGCAGAGTAACCTGGCCAAAAATCTAAATGGTTTTCCAGCACTTACTGCACATACATAAGAGCCTTCTGGCAAGACGGAACACTTTCCAGTGCCACCAGCAGAGTATAAATGTGCGCCCCTCCCTCCACACCATCCCAAAATTAGCACTTAGCCTGGCTGTCCTTTCTTGCTGGTTTAATGGCTGCATAATAGGACTCACAGGCGCTGGAATGTGCTGTGCATGTGTCCGTGTGGTGACAAGTTATATGTCTTTCCCAGTGGATAGGATCAGTACCCATGGGGACGGAGTCCCCTGTGGTGAGGCAGAGTGCTGGGTGTGCTGTCTGTCCCCTGAGCTCCTTGTTATGACACCTTCCTCGGATATTAGCTTCATTACAATTTGTTGCACAAAAGGTTTTTCTTGCAGTGTATTCTGGGCTAATTTTAGAAATTTGTTTTCACCTTCCGACATTGATTCCTGGGGCAGCTTGCAAGCTGCCTGGAATGAAAGATCAATGATGACAGCAGAGGAGTGGGCTCCAGTTCTTCATTAACCCAGAGCTCCCAGCAGCCCCAGTCCTGTCTCTTCCCTCAGAGCTAGCCCTGGACAAAAATGGACAGTCAGGAAGTTTTCCTTTGGTGCCCTCAGCCTTTCTGGTCTGAGCCCTTTCCATCTTCCCGCTCTCCTCATCTCATCTCCTTTACCAAACTCACTCTTCACCCAGTGTGGAGATGGATTTCGGGAGAGGAAGTGAAGTCAGATCCACTGAGGGTCTGCACAGGCTAGGCAGTTTATATGCATGCCCCTTAAAGTCTATCAGTAATTCTCACAGCTTGGTATTGCTCCCATTTCACAGAAGAGGAAACTGAGATGCAAAGAGATCAATAAGTAAGCCTCGTGTTGCAGAGCTCGTAAAGTGGAGCTGGGATCAGAACCTCCAGCTCCAAAGCCTGTGTTCGCACCATTGTTTGCTGTTACGCTGATAACCAGCACAGTGCAGAAGTCTAGGAGCAGGCGTTTGGAGGAGTAGCATCCCCCAGGGTCACAGAAAGGGTATGCTTTGCCCTGCACCCAGCCACTCCTGCTCAGCCAAAGGCTCTGCTGAGTTCCACACACAGGAACTGGCCCTAATGAAGTCTCTAGGGACATCAGGCTGTGCTCCTGAGTCTCAGTTCCACCCACAGAGGGTGGCAGAGTGGGCCAAGGAAGTTCTAATTGAGAATTCACAGGTGCCCAGAGCAGAAATGTGCAGAACCTCTGGCCACAGGTCGTTTACAAGACGTGCGGGGCAAAACGTGGATGTTGGAGATCTTCCAAAGGAGTTAAGGAGAGCAAAGCAGAACAGAGAGGCAGTGAATCCAGAGGCAAGAAGGAGGTAAGGCTGGAGGAAGTCTAGATCAGCCCTGTTAGAAATATACAGAAATATAATGCAAGCCACATATATCATGTTGTACATTTTCTTTTCCTTTCTTTTTTTCTGAGACGGAGTCTTGCTCTGTCACCCAGGCTGGAGTGCAGTGGCACGATCTCAGCTCACTGCAAACTCTGCCTTTCAGGTTCAAGTGATTCTCCTGCCTCAGCTTCCCAAATGGCGGGATTACAGGTGCCCGCCACTGCACCCAGCTAATTTTTGTATTTTTTTAGTAGAGATGGGGCTTCACCATCTTGGCCAGGCTGGTCTCGAACTCCTGACTTCATGATCCACCCACCTTGGCCCCCAAATTGCTGGGATTACAGGCATGAGCCACCGCACCTAGCCTATGTTGTACATTTTCTGGTAGCCACATTTAAAAAGGTAAAAAGAAACAGGTAAAATTAATATTAATAATATATTTATGTAACTCAATATATATCAAATATTATTTCAACAGGTAATTAATACGAAAACATATTAATGAGATTTTACATTTTTTTTGTACTAAGTCTTTGGAGTCTCATATGTATTGTACATTTACAGCACCTCTCAGTTTGGGCTGGCCAATGTCAGTTGCCCAATAGGCACACATAGCTCATATTGTACAGGGCAGGGCTAGATCCACAGCTTTTAAATTATGTCCCATGGAGCACAGCCTTCCTCAGAAATGTTCCAAGAGGTCCCTAAACATTTGGTTTTAATTTCATTTTTAGGAATTTTTAACTACTTAAAAAGTAATGGCGGGGCACAGTGGCTCAGGTCTGTAATCCCAGCACTTTGGGAGGCCAAGGTTGGCGGATCACTTGAGGTCAGGAGTTCAATACCAGCCTGAGCAACATGGTGAAACCTCATCTCTACTAAAAATACAAAAAATTATCTGAGCGTGGTGTCGCATGCCTGTAGTCCCAGCTACTCAGGAGGCTGAACCCAGGAGAATCGCTTGAACCTGAGAAGAAGAAGTTGCAGTGAGCCAAGATCAAGCCACTGCACTCCAGCCTGGGCAACAGAGTGAGACTCTGTCTCAAAAAAAAAAAAAAAAATTCAAAAACTTTAAAAATTAAAAAGTAATGTAAAAATATTTGCACTTAAAGACATCCCACTCCAAATTTTAATGCAGTGAAGACAATCAATAGAAAAATTTGTGTTCGTGTGTGAAAGGAAATATTATGTAATTCATCCTCTTATAGGAGAAGTTTGTACTAATAAAACATCTCTTAATCGTTTTAAATATTAGTACAACCACGTGTCACATAACGATGGGGACACATTCTGAGAAATGTGTCGTTAGGCAATTTTGTCATTGTGTGAACATCATAGAGTGTACTTACACAAACCTAGATGGTATATATATTTTTATTTATATGTATATTTATCATATGGAAAACTAAATGTCCCAGCACCATTACAGAATATCAATCATTTTCCCCTACTTGATCGGCAATGCCAATATCAAGTGCCATGTATCAAGTTTCTGTATAAGCTCCATTATCATCTTATGGGACCACTGTCGTGTATACGGTCTGACGTTGACCAAAATATCATTGTATGGAGCATGACTATAATTTATGTTACATTTCAATTAAGTAATAACAATAACAACCAACATTAATTTTGTATTCACCTCATGCTGAGTGCTTTTTGAGCATCACCTCAGCAAATTCTCACAAGAAATCTTGGAAGTGGGTAATAGTATTATCTTCATTTGCAGAGGAAATGTAGATGCTGATGCTGGAGAGTTCAACAGTTTGCCCAAGGTGGCAATGAATGACATCAGGATTCAAACCCAACCCCAGCTGCATAACTTCTAAACCAAAGCTTCTAAGGACCACACTACAATTAAAAACAGACAGACCAACCTACCATGCCAGTATGAATTCTGAGCTTTGTCAAACTTCAGGCTACCTCGTGTCAACTCTCCCTTCATGCCAATCACTCACTCTCTCTTCAGGCCCTTGTACACACATGTACACACCACGCAGCTTTCTGTTTAGTGCAACAAATATTTACTGACATTACTATGCATCAGTGTTAACTGTGCTCGTTTTGTAGCCAAGATAAAGCATTTTAAATCCTATTTACCCCCGAGGTACCTAGGGAAAGGTCAGATTTTATCATGTAAATGATATGAAGCCAGTGAAGGGTTTAAGCAAAGGGTTGACAAAAAGGATCATATTTGTATTTTCAAAAGCTCATTCTGGAAGCAGCAGGGAGAGTGGATTGAAAATTACTGGGATTGGAGAAAGAAAGCCAATTAAAAAACTGTTAGAGTGAGGAGAGCAGATAGAAGAGGGGGCTACAAATGAGAAAAGTACTGGGTAACTGAGTAATCATTGAGGGGGTCAAAAAGAAAACTTTAAGGCTGACTCTAGTTTCCAGTTAAAGTAGTTGAGTTCATGGTGGGACCATGAGCTGAAATAGAAAAGACAAGAGGAGGTCTGGTTTGAGGGGGATGAGTATACATGATGAATTTAGATTTTAATATTGAAGTTGACATTGTAATCAGCTGCCCAACATCCATTCAGGCCTTCTGCCACTTGTCCCAGAAACAGGACGTGAGGAATCACTCCAGATCCAGGATGGGCCTTGACCCGTGTAACCCAATCATGATAACCCATCCCATAATAATCCCCCTTGCTAATGACTGATTGGAGTAGAAGTCTAAGCCAATAAGCACATACTATTCCCTTGTGTCTTTATTGGTGTTGAGGCCATAAGTTGATTCCTTCAGGCCAAAGAAAAGCATCTGTCTTCAATAACTGTGGGAGAGGAGCTCTCCTGATGAGAACAGAAAACATACGGTACTGATTAGGACTGACAGCAATCTTCCGATTCAAGAGATAAGGCCATTCTAGAAGAAGAATATAATGGAAAGATAGAAAAACCTGGACCCTTAATGAATTCATTGAATCATTGGATCAAGCCATCCAGAAGGTCAACCTGTCCTATCCTTTTATATGAGCCAATAAATTTCCTTATTGTTTAAGACATTTTGAGTTGGGTTTTCTGCCATGTACAGCCACAAGCATCCTAATTGACACAGATATGTTGAATATAACTGAGGTGACCCAAGAAGTCAAGTGGGAGAAACAGGTATGATGTCATCAGGCAGAATTTAAACTGAGAAAGTAGATGAGACTGACTCAAGAAAGCACGTAGAGTGTGGAGGGGAAAGCAGAGCAGGGCCAAGACCAGGACCCTGGAGAGTGCTCGTGTTGGTAGGCATAAATTGCTCTACAGAAGAAACAGAACAGGAAAGAGGAGATGGTCTAGATGTGGGGTAGAGACTCAAAGAATATGGCCATGAAAGCGGGGAGAGATGAGAAAGAAGGGAAGAAATGAGAGAGGGGGGATGGGTCAACTACTGAATGAAGGAGAACACTATAGAAAGAGACATTGACAGGGAGGGGGCGGGGGAATATTAATTAAGGTGCAAGACAAGCTGCTGTACCAATAAGACCCATAAATCCAGTGGTTTGAATAACATAGAAGTTTATTTCTCTCCCACACAACAGGCCAGAGGGAGAGAGTGTCAAGAGCAGTTGCGGGCAGTTATTTTCCTTGAGGTCTCAAGAGTTCTTCTGTCTGGTTGCTCGGCCATCCCATAGGGTCTTGCCTTTGTCCATACAGCCACAGCTAGCTCATCTCCAGCACTTCCAAGTTCCACCTCATTGAAAGGAGGAAATAGACAATGTTCACTGCAAATAGCTTCCATGTAAGGATGTGCTCTGGAAATTGCACACATCCTTTTAGCAAGAACTGAGTAGACATCCACATCCAGCTGCAGGGAGTCTGGGAACTGTGGTCCTGAGCTAAATGATCATGTTCTTCCCTAAAATTCAGGGCTCCTTGACTAAAAGGAAGGAGAGAATGGGCATTTGGGGACACTTAACAAGCTCGGCCACTAGGTTCTAGGAAGTTGTGGTAGGTGTTGTGCAGGTGACAGCACCCTCTACTCCTCAGGTTGATCAACTAGGCTTATCCGCATTAAATCTGTGACCCAATCAAATATATAATCTTAGAAGATCCTAAAGAATTTCAGGCTTTCAATTCACAATACTTCAGCTGCCACCTGCTTGCCCACTCAGGCCAGTTAATGCTGCATGACTTGCTGGCTGTGTCCAACCTCCCTGCTCCCTGCTTCCTGGCCAGTCAGCTTAGCCCTGGAAATGCACAGCAGAACCAAGCCTAAAGGAGGAAATCATCACATTCAGATGTTTTGCGTTATGTAGGTCATGATTCCCTTTCTTATTTTTAATCTCTCCCTAACTACTGATTTCCTTCTCAAAATGTTTTCCTTTGGCCTGGCTTCCACTTAAAGCTATCTCTCTTTTTTTTCCTCTCTCCTTCCCTTAACCATCATAATCACTGACTTGTTCCCAAACCCCCTGCAAGCTGGCATCTGCCCCATCACTCAGATAAAACTGTCACTGAGGTCATTAAATTTAATGGACTCTTCCCAGCCCTCTTCCTCCTCCACCTGGCTGGGTCTCATTAGACACAATTGACCACCCCTTCCTAGAACCTTTACCTCCCTTTGCTGCTATGATGCACCACTACACACCTGCCCCCCAGCTGCTCCCTCCTTCCCTACCTCCCAGTCCTTGTCTGTGTCTTTCTTTCTGTGACTCCTCAGGAGACAAAGACCAAGGCAACATCTACACAGGAACAATCATCCTGTTAGCCTGGGATAGTGGAAAAGACATAACCTGAGCTCAAATCTGGATTTGCCACTTATTTGCTGTGTGACTTTAGCAAGTTACTTAGTATCTCTGAGCCCATTTCCCCCATGGAAAAATAGGGATAAGAATGCCCTTCTTTCAGGTTTGTGTTATCAGGCTAGACAACCGCCTGATAAACAACCCCCAAAACCTTAGTGGGTTAACAAATGTAACATTACCCTCTAATGAAGGTCAGCAGAGGCAGGGAAATACCACACAAGATTATGCAAGAATTGGGTCCAGTGGCCCTACTTCCCCTAGGGATCGGAGTCCTCCACTAGATTTCTGTTTCCACAGCCTACAAAGGAAAAGAGGAAATGAGTATGTGTAGAAGATTGTTCGTGATATTTTGGGGGAGAGCAGCCACAAAAGTGCCATATATTACTTCTACCCACATTCCATTGGCGAGCACTCAGTCACATGATGCAACCTTATAGCAAGGCATGCTGGGAAATGTAGTTCCAGGAGAAAAAAGGTTTGATGAACTCATAGTATCCTGTCTGCCATATGGTTGCTGTGAAAATGGAAATAATAGAACTAAATCCTGTGGCATTTCTGGAACAGAGTAGGTGCTGAATGCCCTTCTTTCAGGTTTGTGTTATCAGGCTAGACAACTGTCTAATAAACAACCTCCAAAACCTTAGTGGGTTAACAAATGTAACATTACCATCCAATGAAGGTGAGCAGAAGCAGGGAAATACCACACAAGATTATACAGGAATTGGGTCCAGTGGCCCTACATCCCCTAGGGATCAGAGTCCTCCACTAGATTTCTGTTTCCACAGCCTACAAAGAAAAGGAGCAAATGAGTATGTGTAGAAGATTGTTCGTGATATTTTTAATCACCATTAATGAGAAAAAATAAGAATTTTTTTTAACTTTTTGCCAACTTTCCCAAGTGCAGACATCAACTGAGATAAATAAGAAGACTAAGGGAGCAGAGACAAAGAGAGAAACAACTGTTGTAAACAGGAATGAAAGTGCAGGCCGAGTTTGGGGAAGCAGGGATAAGCACAGAAGCAGGCAGAGAGTGGGCAGAGGGCTCACCGGGAATTGAGCCCCATGGTACTCAGCACAGCCTCTGCTTTCCCGGCCAGCCCTGGCTCCCACCTGAGCCAGAAGGGGCTTAGAAAGATCTGAGTTTCCTTGGAAACCATTTCTCTGGCCCTCTCTGCACGTGATCAGCCAAGTTGGTTGTAATCAAACCCCCACGGGGCAGAGAACGAGCTCTCAAACTGCAGTCCTGGGGTTCTATCCAAATTGCTTGCGTTTCCGATTTAAATTGGTAATTTCCCCACGAGTGTTCTCCCTGCCCATCCACAGACTTGTTGGAAAGGGGAAGCTCTGGACATGTTACCCACCCCCCGCCATCACCTCCTGCCCCTGACACAGCACAGGGGCCTTGGGAGTGCCTCCAAACAGCCCGGAGTCCTCTGTCAAAGCTGAAGGCCTCTGGCAAGCCCAGGCCTCCAGAACAGCCAGGCCAGGAGCCCCTCCCTGGGCCTCCCTGTCCCACTGAGGACAATGGCCTGGACCTGAGCGGGGGAGAAGGAGGACCTACACAGACTACAGTAAGCAAGTCCTGAATGGTTGACTTCATTGCCAGACTAAATATGGGGGTGTGGGCTTCCTCTGGTACCTTTTGCAGGTACACCCTTTCCAAAGTGAAGGGTGGGGACTGGGCCAAGGCACCAGATAATCTTCTTTTCTTGTTTTGTTGTTTTTGTTGTTGTTGTTGTTGTTTGTTTGTTTGTTTTTGAGACCAAGTGTCACTCTGTCACCCAGGTTGGAGTGCAGTGGTGCAATCTCAACTCACTGCAGCCTCTGTCTTCTGGATTCAAGTGATTCTCCTGCCTCAGCCTCCCAAGTAGCTGGGATTACAGGCACGTGCCAGTACACCTGGCTAATTTTTGTATTTTTAGTAGAGACAAAGTCTGACCATGTTGGCTGGGTCTCAAACTCCTGACCTCAAATGATCTGCCCGCCTTGGCCTCCCAAAGTGCAGGGATTATGGGCATGAGCCACCGCGCCTGGCCAAATAATCTTGAAGTACTAAAAGCCAAGGCTGCAAGGCTAGGAAACAGCTGGGGAAGTCTCAGAATGTTAGGCAGAAAGATCCCAGAAGGTTCTGAGGGGCACTTACCTTCACTCCCTCTGTCACAAGCCAGCCCCAACCACAGTGTGACTACAAAAAGGGAGAGTGGACCCCTGTCCCCTTTCCTTTCAGAATGGGCAGAAGACTCATCTCAGACATGGTCAAACACTCCCAGACACACACTTAGCCATATATACACATGTACACATGCATACATACATATTAGAGAGGTTTGTGCGTCTGCATAGACACATACCTGTGTACTTGAAGACATGCAATGTCATGCATACTGATCCCCCTCCTAGCATCCCAGCCATGTTCATGATGTATCTGGGCATATTCACAAACAGACATCAGAACTGCGCTGAGAACTTGGTGCACACCTGCACGGGACAGCCTCAAGGAACACACATGCATGCTGACACAAGTCCAACTGGCCATCCTGGCATGATCACTGACTGACACATGTACTCAGACACACACATATAAGACTGAGGAAAAGGCAGAACCAGGCTGGGAGATGGACCCTGCTTTGCATGTGGCTAAGTAGGGAGCAGGGTGGATTCCAAATTACTAGACAGCTCCAGGAAGATGTGGCCAAATTGGGTCTAATCCGAGGCTGCATCTGGAGTCCAGTCTGGACATTACTTCAAAGCAGGGTGTGTAGTGTCTTCGTGGGTAGGGTTAGGGCCCTCATGGGGGAAATAGGCTCCCAAACTGCAGAGGAAAACACAGACCAGGAGCAGCCCCTGGAAAAGGCCTTGCTCCCAAAGGGGAAGCTGGATGTCAGGTTCTTATCCCAGTGCAGAAGACTAGGTAAAATCAGGAACCAGCCATTGGCTTGGGAACCTACAGTGAGGGAAGAGAACAGGCTCACGGGCTCTGGGCGTCCAAAGCCCCCCAGCTCTCAGATCCTGTATTCAGGGAGACACAACTAGTACCAGGCCCACCCTCTGCCATGCTGGCTCCCCACTCAGAGCCAGGCTAGGTCAGGAAGAGCTCAGGGACTTGGTAGGCGGAGCCTAGTGGCAGAGAACTATCAGTATCTGTAGCAGAAGGGACTGAGGAAAGACAGGCCAGACACCCCAGCTCCTGAGCCAGCCAGAACCTAGACTCTGTTATTCCCGCTGTTGCCAGGAAAACAACCAGAAGACTCGCTCCCCACCTCCAGAAACTGCCTTCGGGCCCCTACCTCCACCCCAGCTGTAAGGGTCTTGGTCAGTCATGTTCTGAGTTCAAGAGTCCCTCATCTCCCTTCCCACTGCAGTGAAGCCGCGAGCTGGGCTGTGCAACTGACAGGAGTGGGGAGCAGGTATTCAGTCCTGATGCCCAGAGTGGCTGTCCCTACCATTTCTCCTAATGCCCCAGCACTGAGAAGAATCCTGCAGACCTTCACAGCCCACCTGCTCCTTTCTAAACAGACAGGTGTGAGAGAACTGAGAACTCCAGTGGAGCAGGCACAGCCAGCTCTCTGCAGCTGCAGCTTTCCACATTTCCTAACAGAGTCAGCTGGGGAATGAGAGACAGGAAGGGTGAAAGTTCTAATCACTTGGAGTTTCCCTACCACCCAGCAGCTCTCTCTCTCTCTCTCTCTCCCTCCATTCCTCCCTTCGTGTATGCTGCTCTGTATGTCTGGTGTCCTTCTACATCCTTGTCTCCTGGAAGACACTTATTTAACCTTCAAACCCCTGTTCAGGTGTCCTCTCTGCTTTTCAAATCTTTCCCCAGCACTCCCTCTGTTTGACTAATTATTTACTCCTTTCTCCAGGCTACCTACATTACAGCATGTGTTATGATTATCCATTCATGTCACGGTAATCAGGGATGCCTTGGATATCGGGATGCCTGTCTTCTCCACTTGACTGTGAGCTCCCTGAAGGTAGGAGCTTGGTGGCACTTGTCTCTGTACCCCAGCACCACTATAGGGTCTGAGAGAACATGTCCAGGAGAAGTAGTATGATATGTCAGTTAAAAGTATGGGCTCTGGACTAAGCCAGACCTGAGTTTGAACCCCAGGTCTGCCTCTTCTGGCTGTGGGAGTTGGATGTGTTGTTTCAGCTCTCTAAGCCTCGGTTGTTCCAAATTATGACATGGGAAGAGTAGTAATGACTGTCTCATGGATTGCCATGAGACAATGATACAATGAATATGGAGAGATTAGCCCAGTACTGGGCACGTTAATAACCTTTGTTATCATCCCACCAGCACCTGGGCTGTCCATTCTATGCTGAGTCATCATAGCAACTCCATATAGCCCATTCCCCTAGAAACCTCAATAGCAAACGAATAATGACAATCAAGAATGATGAGTTCCATGACAAAACTCTGGGGGCCCTGGGAGCCTAGAGAAGGAACCACTAATTTCAGTGGACATGTGATCTAGTGGTTAAGTTTATTGGCTTTGGTGTCAGGAAGTTCCAAGTTCAAATCCTAGCTGAGACTCTAATTAGCTGTGTGAACTTAGGTTAAGTTAGTTAAACACTCAGAAACTCTGAAATGTGATGGAATTTTAATAACACAAAGATATAAATAATACAAATTTGACAAAAAATCAAATTTGCTTGGGGGTGAGCAAGGAAGACTTCCCAGAAAACGTGACGTCAGGCCTTAATGAATGAATAGAAGTTTTCCAGGTGAAGAGGGGAAGCAAGGGCTTTTCCAGCAGGAGCAGCACATTCAAAGGCTGGTGAATCCAAGGACAATGAGATGTTTAGTGATCCCAGATCCCGTGTATGAGGGGGAAGTGTCTGAAGAGGGCCCACAAAGAGAGACAAGGGCCATGCTTAGTGGTTCCTGGCACACACTTCAAACGACCTCTGAGTCACTCTTCTGGAATGTGCCTGGTACATACTTAGAGGCTCAATAAATATTTGTAGCAAAAACAAATACGAGTCAGTGTCTCCTGCACCCTGTTCTCCTTGCTCCACCCACCCACCCAGCCACTCACCTCCCACTGATCCCTGGGACTCTAAGGAGCATAGGACAAAACCATTGGAATTCACTCCCTCCTAGTTAAGCTCCATGGCCAAGAAAGTTGCACCAAAGCTAAACCCACCAATGGGCCTGATATCAGAAGAACGACTCCTGAACTTTGCAGCTCGCAGAATAAAAATGTATTCCTTCTGATTCCCTATCCAGTCTCCTGATAAGCCCAGCGTGCCACATCTTAATATTCCTTCTGCTAAAGTGCCTGAAGGTCCCTCGGATGTCTGCTTCCAGCCTGCTAGTCTTTGAACTTGAGACATTCTAAACACCCAATAGTTGACTTCATAATTCCGTGAGACTTGAAAGGCAGCCCAGGCAGCGGTCAGCCAGGTCTTCCATGCAGAAAATCCGGATGGCCTGGATGCTCTCCCTCAGGGCTCCTCTCCAGGGATGGCTGCTGGAATCAAAGAGTTTGAGATCGCAGCAAATTCATTTGCAGCCACAACAGAATCCTGTTAGCAGGCTGTCCTGGGGATGGGAGGCAGGGAATGGGAGAAAACTCACCTATGTCTCTAACAGAAGAGGTGTCCTTGGACACTTAATAATCAGCTCTGCTTGGCTTAGCACTATCAGAGCCTGGAATCAAGCTTCTATCACAAGGTCCCACAGCCTCAGTTCAATACTAGAGATAGGCCAATTCTGCCCTCTGGCAGAGAACAAATTCCTGCTGTTCAAGCTTTTGTCAGTCTCTACTGCCCTTGTGCCCTGCCATGACCCTGCTTTGGCTCCTGGAAAGATGGGGTGCTACAGGAGGGCCCCAATTTCCCTCCTCTCCACAACTGCCCACATCCTCACCTCCATCTCAGAGAGAGGAAAGGTCCCTTCTTTCATCCAAGTCCAAGCCTGCAGCTGAGTTCCCACACCCTCACTCAACCTCAAGGATCTGTATGTAAAACCTCTCCCTTGACCTCCAGCAACAAACAGGCTCAAGGTGCCTCCAGGCTAAAGGTGGCCTTCCCAGGATGGACTTAGATCTGGATTCAAGTTCAGGCTCCAACACCTACCAGCTGCATAACCTTGAGCCAGTCATTCCATCTCTGTATTTCAGCCTCTACATCTGTGAAGTGGAAATAACAGCCATCAACTCCGAGGAAGGGTCACGGGAAATGAGATGCCGATGTCTGGCAAGGCTTAGCACCCTGCCTGCCCTTTTATCACTCAAGGAAATTCAGTCATTAGTACAAATATGAGCTCACTGTCCCATAAAGCTAGTGGCCTACTTCTCTTTCCTACACTACCAGGCTTCTTTATTTTTTTAATTTTACTTTAAGTTCTGGGATACATGTGCTGAATGTGCAGGTTTGTTACATAAGTATACATGTGCCATGGTGGTTTGCTGCACCCATCATCAACCCATCATCTAGATTTTAGGCCCCACATGCATTAGGTATTTGTCCTAATGCTCTCCCTCCCCTTCCCCCCACCCCGCGACAGGCCCCCGTTTGTGATGTTCCCCTCCCTGTGTCCATGTGTTCTCATTGTTCAACTCCCACTTATGAGTGAGAACATGAAGTGTTTGGTTTTCTGTTCCTGTACTAGTTTAATGAGAATGATAGTTTCCAGCTTCATCCCTGTCCCTGCAAAGGACGTGAACTCATTCTTTTTTATGGCTGCATAGTATTCCGTGGTGTATATGTGCCACATTTTCTTTATCCAGTGTATCATTGATCCAGTGTATCATTGACCAGGCTTCTTATGAAGCACTCACCCCTCCTTAGCCCATTTCAAACTGGACCCTGACCTCATGCCTCTCACCCAGTCACCAGGGAGCCCAATAACCTAATTCCATGGCTTCCCCCCAGCTTCCAAAAGAGGCATTCAGTGCTGATGCCCACCTGTTTTTTAACTCAAATTCCCTCCTCAGGCCTTCACAGCTCACTCTCCTGGTTCTTCTCTCTTTATGAACATGCCCTCTCCACATCCTTTTCAGTCCTAGATCAGTGGTTACACACTGGAATCACCTAGGGAGCTTCAAACTACCAATGTGCAGCCACGCCCTCCAGCAAGTCTCAATGTGTTGGTCTTTGGGAGGCCCAGGCACTCTAAAGTGCAGCTGGGTTTGAGAACTGCAGCCCTGAATGGAGAAGATGCCCTTGGCCTCTGTGTTACTTAAGATTATGTTCTGCCATACAGAAAAAAAAAAAAGTAAACGTGGTTTACATAAGACAGATAGATGTTCATATGTCTTGCAGGTATGGAATCTGGACGTCCAGATTAGTTTGGCAACTCCACAGTCATCAGGAACCCAGGTTTCTACTGCCTCATGGCACAAAAGGACTACTGGAGCCTCACGGCCTCATTCCAGGCTGCAGGAAGGAAAGGGGAGCACAGAGGGGCAAAGGTAGGTAAGAACCACCCTCTCACACTTCCCACTACTCACAACTTAACACATACCCACACCCAGCTCTGTGGGTGGAGGAGAAGCAGAATCTTCATTCCAAATGGCTGTGTCTAGCTAAAACACAGGTATTCTGAACACTGAGGAAGAAGAAGAGAGCAGTTTCTGCCATGTGGGAATTCTAGGACCTCAGCCACTCCACCTGAGTATTGCTTCCCCCACCCACTCCACAGGCTCCTTAAATGCATTGTGTCCCAAACTGCACCCATCTGACCAGGTCCCATGAGGCAGCAAGGATTTTGAGATTACAGATCTAGTCCTGGCTTTAACACTCAAGCAACCATGGGTACTTGATGCCTTGATGGGCTTCAGTTTCCTTATCTGTGAAATAAGATAAGAAATGTATTTTATTCTTGGGAAGATGAATGATTGGCTTACATATAAACATCTAGTAGAGTGCCTGGTGTATAGCAGGAGCTCAATACATGTTGGTTTCCTTCTCTTCCTTTTCTCTTTCCTAGTCCAGAGAAACCATTTCCTTTCTCTATGCTGTGCTGCCCCCTCTCCCAAACTGATTATATATTGTCATCAGGCCTCGTAGACAAGGCTCCCAGATGTGACACTAACCATATATTTCTTTGTTAAGAACATATGTAAAATGCGGGGCGGGAGAGTGAGAGAAGAAGAGGGAGAAATTACCTTTACGAAAAAGGAGCTAACCAACCCGGATAGTACGGGAATCTTTCCCCGACGTGCTCTGCACCTCCCCTTTCAGGAGAAATCTCTTTTTTCCTCCCTCACTCTTGTGTGGTTTTTTTATTATGACTTGTAGCTATAGGTTGGAGGACAGATGCAGTGTTGGTCAAAATCAAAAGTATGGTCAATTGTACAATTCTCCAGTTTTGAACTGACCCAATTCCCCAGTCATAGACTGACCCTAGGCCCTGGTCACACATCAATCCAGACCCCCCAGTCACAGGAAGATGGAACCTTCCTACAGCTTTGCTACCCAAAGTGCAGGGCGCAGCAGCGTCTGAATCACCTGGAAGCTTGTTAGACATACAGAATCCCAGGCCCCACCTGAGACATTGACACAAATGGAGGATTTTTTTCCTGGCATCTCTCCTTTCCTTTCTCTTGCCTTCCCCAGGAACTGAGCATTTATTATACAAGGTGACCCCTGGTGTCCTCAGCAGCACTGCAAGATCCTATCCTCTCCTTACTCCAGCCATGACTTACTCCATCACTAAGCCAGTTTCCCGCAATGGTCCTGCCTGGCAATGGGCACAGTTGTGGAATCTTTTAATGCTATATCCTTACTTGAATGATATGGTGCAGGTGTACTGAGCATATTGGAAAGAAAGTGTGTGAAACACCTAGAAGAGGACCTAAAACATAGAAGACAGCCAATAAGTGGCAGCTGTTATTACCAGCTGTGTGACCTCGGCCATCACTACACGTACCAGAGCCTCAGCTTCATCACCAGCTCCCAACACCTACTACGACACAGAGCTGGTCTCATATTGTGACTTCAATCTGATTCTCAGTTCAGTGGAAGGAGAAATCATCAAACAGGATTGGCCAGTAAAAAGAGGAGATTACAGGCAGGGAGATGAGCCCAGATCTAAGGACAGGTAAATCCAGAATATATGTGAGCAGTTAGGAGGAGACCAGGTCGGCAGCATCAGGAGACACGCAGGAGAGAAAAGGATGAGGCAGATAGAAGGATGCTGGAGGCCAATGGTGGGCCTTGAAGGCCGAACTAAGAAGTTTAGATTTTATCCTGAAAGTGAAAGGGAACCCCGATGGGCGTTTTGGATGTGAAGTCAAAGGACGGCATAAAGCGCAGAAAGAGGATGACACTAGGGCACTGGAGTGGTGATAGAATGAACATGACCAATTGGATGGGAGAAGGAGGAAGAGGGAGAATCAATTTGAAATGACTATGGCAACATCAGTGACAGACAAGGCAGCCCAGAGATGGAACTGTCTGCAGATGGAAAGTTAACATTTTTGTATTAGAACTCCATTCCTTCATCCAATCAGTATGTCTTGAGTATCTGTGCTAAGCACTGCATGGGGCTCTGGGTATATTATGGTGCGCCAAACAGACCGTAGTTCTTGTCCTGATGGGAGTTCTGCCTTGGTGAGAGGAAGATGCCAAGAGACATCCAGGAGACAATTCAGAGAATAGTCAGGGCTGGATACGGCTTGGGAGCCTTCTCCCAACTGCCCCAGACACATTTCAGAAAGTGTTAAGGGCTGGAAAAATTATGAGAAGATTTCTTCAAGGCCCAGACTTCAACCCTGCATTTCCCACAATATCCAGCCAAGGCCAATGTCCCTCTGCAGGGCTTTGCTCCAAGATGACCGTGGGAGGGGCAGCTCCCTTGGAGATGGATACCTGGCCCAGTGTTCAGGGGCTCTGGCTTCTTGATTACCTGCTGGAGGGGAGTCTTGTGATTGCAGTCATCTGATTAGGGATTCATGCACTCATCAGAGCTGAGTAGAGACACAGCCCAAAGAATCTGGGCCAGGCAGAGTAGTTCTTAGCTATCTGGTGATACAGGTGAGGTGTTTCTTCAGCACTGCCCCATGGATTCCCAGGCCTTTACACCCATGCATCCCTCTTTCCACTGCACCTTCTGTTCCCCTAAATGCCTCTGGGGCTCACACTGTGCCAATTGACCCCAACTTTCTTTACCCTCCTAAACTCAGACTTTTATCTCCTCTCTACACTCCCTCTAGCCTCTGCCTTCCAGCTGCCCAGACTCACTGCACACATACACACACTCCTGGCCCCTGTAAGCCCAATTAAGCCAACAAATCCACAGTTAATTTAATACTGAGCACTCAGCAGAAGGATACATCACTGGTGGTAGATTGCGTGAGTGATACCGTAGAATTACATCTTTGTGTACTTCAGTTGTGTGGGTATACTTTATAATTCACTGTGGTCAATGGGTAATAGATATAAAATTCAGAGACTAATATAACTAGTATAAATGATGCAGAAGTTTCAGGCTGTAGCTCTCGTTTTCTGAGATAGCGTTGTTAGAACTGCAGTCTCCTGGTACTCATTCCCTGGGCAGGAAGCAATCCTCAGGTAAGAGCGCCCCAGCATAGAAAGATGATCTCCTCCACTACCATCTGCTCCGTGATGCGGTTTCCAGGAATACACTGTGTGGAGTGGTGGGGGGACTCCCTTTCCTCCAAACCCTACTCTCTGGTGATTTTGTCAGCCTGAACCAAAAGCCTTAAAAATATGCATTTTCTTTGACTCTATAATTCTACTTTCGGAAACAAGTTCTAAGGAAAACGTATGTGCAAGGATGTTTGTGAAGCACCATTTAAAATAGCTACATATAAAAATGGAAAGAACCGAGATGTAATATACACACAGTGCGATTCTATGCAGGTTATTTACCCAGTGTCTCTCAGCTCACATCTACCCTTTTGTATTCTGCTCTTGCTGAGGCCAGAACTCCAAACCCAACGCTTCCCAGACTCCAGAACCAGCTGGCTTCCTGTTAGGTTCCTGCAATGAAAGGCACTCGAGGAAGATTGGAAGGCAAGATGAGGAGAGAAGGGACTTGGTTCTTGTTTCTTCCTTTCCTGCCAGCATCACTCCAGCAGCAGCAGTTGGCTCCAGCCCCTACTTTCTTTTTGTACTCCCAAACCCAGCCTCACCACAATCCTTCCATATACCAATAGCAGCCACATACCATTCCCAGGTCTCAGCACCAGTTCTGCAGGACTGCAGGACCCATACTCTGAGTTCCTAGGTCCTGGTTCCCAAACTTCTTTTGTTCCTGTAGCCCTAGGGTTGGTACCTGCTTCCTGCAGTTATTATCTCTGAGTTACCCCTGTGTTCCCTTTTTGCCCTATCAGCTCTCCAACATCTGTGTAGCCAATTTCCTGTATTAAATTCACTCTCTTTGAAATACCTTGTGTGGTGTCTGGTTTTCTGAGTTCTGGCTAATATAGATGTCATTTCACCCCAATTGGGTAGAAAAAAATTTACAAATGTAACAATATCAAAGGTTGGTTGAGACTCATAGAAATTGGAAATTTTCTACATTTCTGATGGGATTGTAAATTTACAACCATTTTAGAAAACAATCGGGCAGGCAATAACTGGTAAAGTCAAATTGCATACGTGAAATTCTGGTCCTGTGTATGAACTCTAAAGAAACACTTACAGATTACTCAAACAGAGAGCATCATTCCTTATTTTTCCCAACAGAAGGAAATGGATGATTCAGTTGCAGTACATTCATATAAGGAAATACTACTACATGGTGGTTAAAAATGAATAACTGATAGTTACCTACAGCAACATGGATAAAACCTAGAAGCATAATTTTGAGTAAAGAAAGTATCCTGCAAAAAGATGTGTACAGTATGGTGTCATTTACATATACATTTTTAAACCTACAAAGCAATACTATATATTGTTAATGAATATACTTGAATGTAGTAAAAGTGCACATCATACATGGCAAGTTAAATTATTTAGAAGCACTAGCTGTAGATGATGGTGACTCAGGAGACAGGAAGGAAAACGGAATCAGATAAGGAGGAATCAAAGGAGGACTTTTTTTTTTTTTTTCCCTTTTTTTTTTTTTTTTTTTTTCTGAGACAGAGTCTTGCTCTGTCGCCCAGGCTGGAGTACAGTGGCATGATCTCGGCTCACTACAACCTCCACCTCCTGGGTTCAAGCGATTCTCCTGTCTCCTGAGTAGCTGGGATTACAGGAGCATGCCACCACACCCGGCTAATTTTTGTATTTTCAGTAGAGACAGGGTTTTGCCATGTTGACCAGGCTGATCTTGAACTCCTGACCTCGTGATCCGCCTGCCTCGGCCTCCCAAAGTGCTGGGATTACAGGCGTGAGCCACCGCACCCAGCCTGGCTTTATTTCTTCAGCTTGGTGGTAGGTACTATTAAATTGAGGGTCTGGAAGGC